ACCAGGTCTCAGACACTCTATATATGTGTTACTCACCCACACCAGGTCTCAGACACTCTATATATGTGTTACTCACCCAAACCAGGTCTCAGACACTCTATATATGTGTTACTCACCCACACCAGGTCTCAGACAACTCTATATATGTGTTACTCACCCACACCAGGTCTCAGACACTCTATATATGTGTTACTCACCCACACCAGGTCTCAGACAACTCTATATATGTGTTACTCACCCACACCAGGTCTCAGACAACTCTATATATGTGTTACTCACCCACACCAGGTCTCAGACAACTCTATATATGTGTTACTCACCCAAACCAGGTCTCAGACACTCTATATATGTGTTACTCACCCACGGGGCACGTGCACTCGGCTTTGGCATCTCCGTTGGCGTTAAAGATGACGTCACACTTGCCCTCATTCATACAGAAGCCGTTCCGGCATGGGTTGTCCTCCTCGCAGTACTCACCAATGAAGTTGTCACCGCACCTGAAAAGACAAGATTTTAAAAGACATTATAAGAAATGCAGAAGAGTGGCAGGATACGAAACATTTTGAGATTTTTCCGGGGGAGGGGGGGTAGGGGGTATATTATTAACCACAGTAAATCTTAGTCTATTCAGCGTGATAACCAATTGCTGTCTGTCGGACAACTGGTGCTAGAAGAAAATAGGTTGAGAATCACTGCTCTATCAAATCCAACTTTAAAACACGGGTAGGTGTGAAGTTTGACGTGGGAAATTTGGTTTTTGGCAGCCGTCTGAATCATCTGGCACAGACTTTAATACACTGCGTATCATATTTTGAAATGTAATAGCATAGTACTGGCAAGGGGATGCTATCAGCCAGGGCAAGGGGATGCTATCAGCCGGGGCAAGGGGATGCTATCAGCCAGGGCAAGGAGATGCTATCAGCCAGGGCAAGGGGATGCTATCAGCCGGGGGGATGCTATCAGCCAGGGCAAGGGGATGCTATCAGCCGGGGGGATGCTATCAGCCGGGCAAGGGGATGCTATCAGCCAGGGCAAGGGGATGCTATCAGCCGGGGCAAGGGGATGATATCAGCCAGGCAAGGAGATGCTATCAGCAGGGCAGAGGGGAATGGGGATGCTATCAGCCAGGGCACGGGGATGCTATCAGCCAGGGCACGGGGATGCTATCAGCCAGGGCACGGGAGATGCTATCAGCCAGGGCACGGGGATGCTATCAGCCAGGGCATGGGGATGCTATCAGCCAGGGCACGGGGATTCTATCAGCCAGGGCAAGGGGTTGCTATCAGCCAGGGCACGGGGATGCTATCAGCCAGGGCACGGAGATGCTATGAGCCGGGCAAGGGTAGGCTATCAGCCCCAGCCAGGGGGGATGCTATCAGCACAGCATGGAGATGCTATCAGTCCGTCAATGAGATGCCGTCAGCACAGCAAGGGGATGCTATTAGCCCGACAAGGGGTTGTTATCAGCCCGACAAGGGGTTGCTGTCAGTCCGTATACCCCTAGCCATTATATGTATGAACAAACAACAACAACTAGCAATACGAGTAAGCATGTCAAATATTTAATATGTTAATCCATTGTTATGTGCTATTGAAGGGCATTCTTTAATTAAAGTCAAAGGAAGAGAGAAATCTCAAATATTTTTTTTTTACATACCCTCAATGATTCAAAAGTTTGTTTTTAATTGTTGTTGTTTTTGTTTTAATTAGCCCATTTTTTATGACTATATGTGTCAATTAGTTAAGACTAAAAGTGAACAGCTGTTTGCTACACACAGCTGCGCTATTATTGAATACACTCTGTTGAAACGAAAGTGATTTCGCCATCTTGGTTTAGGTTTACGTTTAACATTTCACGTCAAAATAACATCATCTATAACAGCTTGAATGGAGTGCTGCTAAAAATCACCACGGTAGGCGAAAATAATGCATGCAGAATATTTAGAATGTATGATTTTTATTTTTTATTTTCAAACCGGCGAAAAAAAAAAGGGGGGGGGGGTTTTGCAGACAACTTATGGAGTTTTTCTGGGGCGCCAGGGGACACAACCTGGCATGACGCCTGCCTGTGATCTCTAAGAAGTAAGTGGAGGTACCTTGTATTCTCGTAGTAACACGTGTTGTGTACATGTACACGTGGGGTTTGTCGCCCGTGATTCATCCGAGATTGTGTACACGTGGAGGGCTTTCCTGGCAAGAACCTCGTCATTGTCTGGGGCTGCGACTCATTTGCGCCCGCTTTAGAATTTAAGTTTTGCGTCGTCGCCTCAACGAAGTCTGGTGCCTCAGAGTCAGCATTCGGTGACTCATTGCTGTCTGCAGTCTAAGAGTCAGCATTCGGTGACTCATTGCTGTCTGCAGTCTTAGAGTCAGCATTCGGTGACTCATTGCTGTCTGCAGTCTAAGAGTCAGCATTCGGTGACTCATTGCTAAGTCTGCAGTCTTAGAGTCAGCATTCGGTGACTCATTGCTAAGTCTGCAGTCTTAGAGTCAGCATTCGGTGACTCATTGCTATGTATGCGGTCTTAGAGTCAGCTCCTGGCTATGTCTGATGGCTCAGAGACAGCATTCGGTGATTCATTGCTAAGTCTACGGTCTCAGAGTCAGCATTCAGTGACTCATTGCTGACTGAAAGCTGGAGTCTGATTTTGCAGACGGAGTCGTGGTATTCATTCGACTCAACTTCTTAGTCGAGATTGGCTTTTACAATTAAAAAAAAACATCATTAAAATCTGTTCATTACATTTTGTTTTAAAACGCGATGGTCTATTCGGGAGTAAGATTAATCTTAGACGCAGATTCGTCAGACAACCTTAGGCCCAGATTCGTCAGAATATCATAGCCCCAGATTCGTCAGATATTCATATGCCCGGATTCGTCATATAATCAGAGACTTGGATTTCGAGTTGACCAAGGACATTTTCTTACCAAAGACTTGCAAAGACATTTTTTACCAAAGACTTGCAAAGACATTTTTTACCAAAGACTTGCAAAGACATTTTTTACCCAAGACTTGCAAAGACATTTTTTACCAAAGACTTGCAAAGACATTTTTACCAGAGACTTGCAAAGACATTTTTTACCAAAGACTTGCAAAGACATTTTTT